TCATGTTGCTGCTGATCTGTTTCATGTTGCTGCTGATCTGTTTCAATGTTGATGTGTTCATGCGTGCACATCTGCTCACAGACTCATGTTCATGTTTGTGCTGATGTTCAATGTTTTATGTTATGAGTGCTTAGTGTATATTTAGTTGATGTTTTTCTTAGTTCATATCTTAGATGTTATTACTGTTTTTCTTATACATTTTATTGTTGGATGTAACTGGGACCCTGTGAACATAATTTCGCTCCACCACATGTACCACATGAGGTGCGAATGACAATAAAGAAACTCTGACTCTGACTTTTGTCTGCAGTACATCCTGAATGAAAAGGAGGTTCAAGTGAAGACGGAGCTGTGGATGAAACAGAACGCAGAGTACCTGAAGGAGCAGAAAGGTGAATGGGTCATGTGACCAATCACCTGATCACATGACCGAGTCTGAACCAGTTGTTTGTGTTTACAGAGAAGGAGGAAAGGATAAACAAGGAGAAGGAGCAGGGCACCTACAAGGAGAAGGTGAGTAAACCATTGGGTCCCCCAGCCTTGAACACAGAGACTCAAACCCTGTCTTGACCTCTGACCTCTGCCTGAGCGTCTCTGCTGCAGAAGAAGAAATACAAGAAGCGTGAGCAGATTGAGGCGTCAACGGCGGGCGAGGCCATCGAGAAGATGTTAGAGAAAAAGAAGATCTCCAGTAAGATCAACTACGACGTTCTCAGAGACCTGAACGGAGTGACAGGAAGTCCCAGCACGGCGACCTCTGACCTGCCAGAGGGCACTGCCACCCGGAAACGACTCAGCCGCCGCCGCAAGAAAAGCAGCGAGGTCAATCCTGACCTTGGTGTTAATGCTTCCATCATGGGGAAGAGGTAGATCCCAACAGCGCTCAGTCGCCTCCAGCCAGGACGCCCCAGCCGTCTGTAAACTCTGTCGTGTTGGTGTTTCAGGTTCCGCCGTCTCATTTCCTCCACACCAAAGAAGAAGAAAGCACCTCCCCAGGTACACACGTCTCACATGCAGGAAGTGTAATCTGATTCCTCCTCGTCAGCACGTAATAGTAACGTGACTATCATCTGATTTCAGGTGAAAACCACCATCACCATGGAGATGAATACGACAGAAGCTGCAGCATCACCAACTCCTGATGCTGTCCCAGATACAGGCTCCGCCTCCCCAGCTGCTCCACCCCCTGCTGAGGAAGAGGAAGAGGTGGAGGAAGAGTGTGTGAGTGCTCTGCGGCTTGTAGGAGGTCAGTTTGGGCTTGTATTCTGAAAATATTCAAACGTAACAATATGATCCTTCAGCTTGTTGGTGCATTGATCGTTTTGTTGTTTCATGTTTAGCTGTTTTTTAGATTCGTTCTTTTAAAAAAACTTTTTCTCTCATTCGTTCTTCTCAACTTGTATTTTTCTCATATGATTGTTTATTGTTGTCTGTTGTCATCACTCTGAATGACACTAACCTGTAGAAATAAACGTTGAATGATGATCAGTTGATTAGTTAGAGCAGGGGTCCTCAACCACCGGGCTGCGGACCAGTACCGGTCCGTGGGTCAATTGGTACTGGGCCGCACAGAATCTGGTTTGTGTATGTATATATATATATATATATATATATATCTAAATATATATATTTATTTATATAAATTTATATATATTCATTTATTTATATATATAAATATATTTATATATATAAATATATTTATATATATATATAAATTTATATATATATATATATATATACATAAATTTATATATATAAATATATGTATATATATATATATAAATTTATATATATATATATAAATTTATATATATATAAATTTATATATATAAATTTATATATATCTATATATATATATACATAAATTTATATATTTATATATACATATATTTATATATATATATATATGTATTTATATATATTTATGTAGTCTGACATTAAACCGGTCCGTGGCACAAAAAATGTTGGTGACCACTGAGTTAGACCGTCTGTTGTTGGAGGCTTCACTGACTGACTGCTCTTTATTTTACAGATTACGGTTGTGAGGAGGAGGAAGTGTTTTAGCTCCACCCCCTGACCTTTGAACCCTGTGAATAAACTCCACCCAGGCTGAAGATCCAATCCAGGCGATCAATTTCAGATCAATAATTGAATCAATGACCAAGTTTCAGGACACGTCAGTGTTTTTACTGATCACTGATAGAGGAACTGATCAGAGTTCCTCATGTTGGATGATATTTGTGTGTGTGCGTGCATGCGTGAGTGTGTGTAAAACTTAATATGAACGTACAGAAGCCCAGCAGGTTCAAAACCAGATGAAGTCCTTTAGTTGTGCTGGGCGTCCAGAGTCCTGATCAGTTTGTTACTGACCAAACAGCCGAGCCAGAGAGTGTGTGTTCACGTGCACGAGTGTTTGTTTCTTCTCTTCTTTGTTGTATTTTAATGATTCTTTGTTTCAAATGTACAAACAAGCAATAATGAGGTAAACAACAACATTCCTTTAATAAACAAACTCTGAAAAACTCAGTTTAGTGTTGAGTGTGTGCAGAACAGATTGAAATCACTTCCTGTTCCAGGAAGCAGACTCAACGTTTCCTGGAGTTTTGAGGAGGTCCGGTTCAGAAATGTGAAGAAGTGTTGAGTGTTTGGATAAAAGCAGCTGTGCTGCCAGACCGTGGAGTTAGAGTCCTGAAAGAAGCTGCATGCTGATGAACTTATGCTACAGTGCTACATCATCTCACCATCAGTGTGGCTGTGAAACGTCCTGAGAACCTGAAGCTGACCTCAGGATCAACACGGTGACCAAGTCATAACCTGCAGCCGTTGTCAAGATGGACTGGAAGCTCAGTCCTCATCTGCTTCTACAGGTGTGCTCCAGCACAGAGCAGATGAACACTTGGCTGTTCCCTGGACAACAATCTTCAAGGTCCCCATCATCACGACCCAGAATCATCAGCATTAAATGAACGTATTGTAAAGTGAGTATACTGAATAACTTGTAAAACGTGAAGCACTCGACCGTGACACCTCAAACAGCTAAGTTCATGCAAGAACCAACGCAGACGTGTTCCTGTTACTTTTCTACTATTCCTTCTATCTGTTTTTGTTTTTAACATCATTTTCTTCCATTTCTTCTCAGTTTACATGTTTTCTTTTCTAACTACGTATCGTTGGCACTGCCTGCTACAAGGCAGCGCCTCTTATTATCCCCCTCACAAAAACTTTATTAACTTTATATCTGACGTCTAAAAAAGTTAAATCTGGTACTCTGGAGATTCCAAAAAAAACAAAACAAAGCAAAACAACAAAAAATGTAGAAACGTTTCGTCTCTCATCCAAGAGACTTCCTCAGTCTGAGGTGCTGTATTCAGCTCAGTCTCTTAAATAGCACCTTCTCAGAGTGGATCAACCAGTTTTGCTGCTGACAACCAGAACCAGCTGATCACATGGTCAAGAAGGACCATCAGCCTAACAATGGATCATTAGCACCTGATGGCTGTTTACTGTTCACAGAGGGCTGAGTGATACTAGCAATCACAGCATTGTAAGAGGGGGACAGTTGAACCTGGAGGCTCCGCCCCTGTTTAATGATGGACGGTTTCTTTTCACAAAGATGGCCTCCTTTACTCCTCTCTCAAACCATCGTTCCTCTCTGTCCAGGATGTGAACATCTTCATCCCTGAAAGAGTGACC